AGTGCATACGCAGCTGCTTTTCTTCAATTTTGCGTAACACATACAAATTTTATAACAATATTCATCGGATTAACAATTAAAAAAGGCTTCAGTAGTGACAGCTGTAAGAGTTGATCCACGGTATCTTTGTTCTCTATCGAAGTAGTACTTTCCAGGAAGGACTCGTATTCCTTTCGGGAACGTCAGCCGACTTAGCGGTAGAGTTACGTCGCAGTGTTCCCGGATGTCTCTAAAAAACTTTGTTCTGTTTTCTGAGAGAGTAATTTATAGTGAAAAAAGGCGCTTTTTGGCAGCGTTCAGACTTCGCGACGGCAGCGCTTTGGTCGCGCGATTCGACGATCGATGCGCATGCTTTCGGCTGCATCGATCGCGTCGAACGCGCGACCGAAGCGCTGCCGTCGCGAAGTCTGAACGCTGCCTTTGGCGACGGGAGGGGACGGGGAGCATCTTGCACTTTCGCTGCTTAGTTTCTGTTTACACGTCTCTGACCTTTGAAGTATTGTGAAGGCTGGAGCAATCTCTCAAACCACCGTGGTAAATAGCTGTCAGCTTTTGTTAGCGCATGAAATAGCTCTCTTAATGACTCGACACGTCGATGGGGGGGGACATAAGTGTAAAATGCCCCCCCCTCACCCAAACGGTCGCAGCACTGAGCCGAAATGTTCTCAAATAATGAATTTCTAGAATTTCAGTAGATCTGTCTACAGTATCATTTACCATCGCTGAAAGACATCCATAGGAGAAATCCTCGTCGATTCCTCTACAATTGGTTTCTCCCAAAAGCGTTTCACTAGAGGTTGCAGTGTTTTTCTTGATAGAGAAAGCGGAGTGGCTGCAAAGGACTGAGTATTGAAAAAGGATGGGAAGAACTCTCACAGGATTTGCCAAGTCGCTAAACAAGGTGGACAGAAATTACGGCGACGGGCAGGTCATTGATTTATTTCTTCTTCAACTTCGTCATAAAGGATGTATTAGTTTTCAAATAGCCAGTTCTTTAACTCATTGTCGATCACGTCATTCGTACGGTCTTGTTCGGTGCGGATGATGGGGCGTGCCAGGGGGATGGCTCGTCGCTTTCCCTGTTCGGCAACATGTGGAGAGCAGGCTAACGCTGTCAGCAGGCATATCTTGACCGTTGAGAGTAGCTTGGTATGCGCGTGCGGGGTTTCACTCAGTTGTTGGGGGTCTACGGACAAATTTCCTTTCAACGCGTCGAATTCGTGTTTTTCGCTGCCCTTGCTCGTCCACGTGGCACTCCATGACCATAGTGACATCGCACATTCCAGCTTTTCACATATAAAGCTCATCCCACCCCGGAGTCCCCTCCCTTTGGAAGAGCTCGTTTCCTGTCTTGCCTTGCACGTCTCGATTCTTTGACAGGCGCTTCCTCTATCTGTCTGCCTTTCTTAGATTCGCAACAGGACCATGCTCAAAGCCTCACGTAACCGTTGTTGGGGTTTCTACCCGCTCACGCGGACACCGGCGCTCGCTGGGATCCCGCTGGCTCACACGATCTCCGCCACTCGTTAGGATCCCAGCTACTACCGTCACCTTTCTGCGCGGTCGGGTATAGGAAATTATTTAACACGGCTAATTAAAAGAAAGAAAGCTCAGCATAATCTGGGAAGAAAAAGAAATCCCTTTTACGAGTCCTAAGAAAGTTATGGATATTTATCCAGAGTTTCTGATCCATTTTGCAATAATAGCCTGCTCCACTGCAACCTGAATGCGCACGAACGTTTGAAATTCGAGTATCCGGTTCGAAAACACCCCATTTTTCAGGACCTCTTTCAACTAGGAGGGGAGGAGGGGTCGTATTTAGCAATAAACTTTACACATGTGAGGGTGTGCCCTTTGAGCTACGCCAGACTCAGCCCCTCTCTTCAGACAAGCCCTAGCATCCGCTTCGAATAAGACTGTAACTGCCTTTTGTAAAAGAAGTGAATGAAGTTGGTTAGGTACACAACTGGCTTACTTAGAAGGGCATTTGGATCGTGTAGTTTCAGTACTTCATTGTAGGTTTCATAGTGGAATACGCCTTCCTCATGGGTTGCCTGGAACTAATTGACAACAGTGAAAGTCATCACAAGAATGCTGAGTAAGGCTGCGTTTATACTTTGCGGCAGCGTAGCGCTTCCAGCGTTTCACTAGCGTTTCGCTAGCGTTTGCAGCGGCGGGGCTAGAGAGTATAGAAGAGTAGGAGAGTACAAAATACTCTCCTACTCTTCTATACTCTCTAGCCCCGCCGCTGCAAACGCTAGCGAAACGCTAGTGAAACGCTGGGAGCGCTAGATCGATAGCTATGCTTCCCGTGCCCTCGCTACGCTAGCGTACGCTGGTGACGCTGGGAACGCTAGATCGATATCTATCCTTTCCCCGACACTGCCGCTGGCGTACGCTGGAAGCGCTACGCTACGCAAGGTATAAACGCAGCCTAATGGGCAAAAGTCGACCCCAGGCGGGAGTCGAACCCGCACCTCACGCTTTCCGGGCGAGTGCGCTATCCGTTACGCCACCAGGGCCGCTTTTACCCTCTCAGCTTAACGGCTTTTATGCCGTAGCCTTACAGCACTCACACGTTTAACTTGGTGAGCCGGTCAGCCGTAATCGTTAGATATCGGCAATGATTGCGGGTTCGACTCCCGCCTGGGGTTCGACTTTTGCCCGTAACTCAGCAGCCTTGTGATAACTTTCGGAACGCGAACTGCGGCGTAAAAACCGCAGTCATCATCATAAAACAACAGCACAGTGGAAGTTTCCCGGATGCTGATTTCATTCTTAACAGATGCCTATTTTTTGAGGGAACAATGACCGTGATTATACCTCCCGGAAGGGATGAAAGTTCATGGTCAACACAAAAAGTGGCGTAGCCGCTAAAGCAGTATGTACGTGAGGACCCAAACAACGAGGGAGGGGGGGGCGTTCTGAAGGGAACAAGGTCGTATTTGATGCGAGTCTTCGGTTGCTGAGTTTCCTCGATTTCTCGTTTCACGTGCGCTGAAGCCCGTCCGCCTCCCCTACTCGATAGCAATTTTTTTGGGAAAACTTGGAGACTTTCCAAGGGAGGGAAAGCTCGTGGAAAGTTGGGAGAATTTCTGGAAATGGTAGATATGGTGTGCATGAGGAACAGAAGTCACAAAGAACTTCCGAGAAAGGGGGCGCAATAACTGCCCCCATTATTCTCAATGGGAACTTTCTCAAGCGCAATTCGTACCGGTGCGAGAAGGTAGAGAAAACTGATGAAGATGACGCATTTTCCTGAGTGGCACTACTTTTACAGAATGCTTCCTTAGGGGGGAGATGCTATTTAGCTACCTGAATTTTACCAAGACTACTTTTTCTGGAAGTTAACCGCTGTAGATGTATTTGACCTCACCTGCTTGCCGTTAATAGAGGTTTTTCTAGCGTAGTCCACAACTGCATTCAGAATATCTTCTTCCTAAACACATAACCCTTATTCTTGCAAATTAGTGCTTTTGGAAGTGCTAAAATGAGGACCCCATTTAAGGATTTCTGAGTGGCGAGGTTTATGAGGGGTAATCAAGATACTACATACAAGAGGGTAACTGATGGCAAACTTATACTTACCATCTTGAGTATGGAGCTCACAGAGAGATCCAGCATACTACCTGCAAAAATTAATCACCATGGGACGTTTTGAGCTGCCACCACCTACTGGCACCAAAGCAGGACGGCAGCCATAAAGCTATTTTACTGCCGGCTCGGGATATTTTTGTTAGAAGCCACAAACAAATAATGAAAGAGTAAAGCCAGCCGCCGGCTTACTTATCAGTCGATAATCCGCCTCGAAGTCGTCGCTCAATGTGCAGTTCCACGAAGTGGCTGAAGGGTCTGAACTGGGGCTGGCTTTGTGGTACCTGGAACACGGCTGACGGAAGTGGTTATACAACCTTTCGCGGACGCTGGAGAGTGTCAGGGCGGGGGGGGGGGCGGGTTCGAACGGAGAATTTAGTCCATTTCTCACCAACTTCTGTGCATCAACAGTTGGTAGAGAATGGACAGGCGTCGCGCCGAACCCAGCCCCTGACACGCCCCAGGATCCGCAGCGAGCACGACTGCGAACTTCGCAAAGAAGCTACCAACCTGTTTACGACCAGATGAGCTCTTCTTAGACGTTGAACGAGGCGCTCTCCTCTTCTGTGGTCTTGACAAAATCTGATGCAGCTATTACTAACGAAGCCTTGAACTATCACAAAGGTTGAGACACATTACATCTTCTTTGCCTACAGATGGTATTGACCATGAGGTAACGACCAAACCCCCCCCCCTCCCCCAAAACGACCGCTACAGCCCCGAATTTTCAAAAAAAAAACTTCTCGATGAAGCTTCGAGTGTAGGGTTATTCGACGCCCAAACCACAACATCATTTTTGAAGGGCTTTTTTATCGAGAGTTTTGCATACTGGAGTTACTTGCCACCCGGATTGCGGACACAGCATTCATATTTGGCGCTAGCGCCATTTCGTGCTAGAACAACCTGTGGGCGCAGTTCGGCGAAGGGAGGGGGGGTGGAGGCATTTTGCACTCTTAACGACTTCCATCGACGTGTCGACCCATCTAGACAGCCTCTTCTCGAGTTGACAGGTTTTACCATGATGGCTTGACGAGCTTGCTCCAGCTTCACAAGAGTTCACAGGTTTCACAAGGAACTAGTGAAGCGACGAGTGTGCAATGCCCCCCCGTCGGCAAACTGCGCCCAACCGGTGCCTGATTGGCGTTACGATTTGTCCCCCCCCCACCCGAGCGAATGTCATACTGGGAACAGATAAAGCTTGTCTCATAATTCGCAAATTTTTATGAATTTATCAAGACTTTGAACGACCAAGTTCGACTGGCACACATATGATCGAACTCAGAGCCCCCTTAAAACGAAAATAGAACCTTAAT